TCATTGTGATTGGGGTTGAATGCTTAGGGACATTTTGCTCTGTTTTGGTTGGATTTAGGAAATGGAATAAAATAAATTACATTGCCTATCCTCTCAGGATAACTGGAATTAGTGTTACAAGTACCCTAGGCACATAGTTTTTCCATTTTTGTAGCATAAACATCATTAAACCGATGCGAGCTTCGGATCTTCCAATGTTTCTCTATGGCGCTGAAACCTAAAGATGTCTGAGTTCCGCTCCCCGTGCAACTGATACTCAACTGCCATTGGCTCATCTGCATTCGAGGGGAGGGGATTACCGATAGGTCAATTATGTGTACTTACCGAAGATTACACAACCCTCTTAATGATGTCCTCAAAAAACAGTCTGTTTAATCTGAAAGAGTGTCCAGAGGAGTCACTTAGTCAAACATTTACTCAAGGAAGTCATTATGGTGTTGATAAACTGAGTTTGTAGAATGGGTGGGGCTGAAGAAGCATGACAGTTTTCAGTGCTGAGTACATCAACAACTGTTAAAACAGAATGGAACAAACAGCGTTCGCCCAAAAGTTAAATACACTGTCTGTTGCTCTTGGATGCAAACAGAGCCAACAGCAAACAGCGCTTTCACGAGAATCCAAATACACCAGGAATACTGTAATATATCCGTAACATACTGAAATATATATAGAATGTACTGTATGATAGCGTTAGCACGTAAAACCATATGCTTTACAGACAAACATCCAAGGCATAGGGCCATAGAAGAGTTTGGAATCAAGTCCTCAAATATAAGAGATATGGAGAATATGGAGAATATGGAGAAACCACCACAAAGACATCAGGACTAGATCTTAGTGGTTTCAGCTGCTAATGTGTTTTGGGTGACTGCTTACTGACCAAGTAGTATCTATGACTTTTGGCTCAGGTTCCTCCTTCAGTGCAAAGGGCTGTTGACACCAATGACGATAACTACACCTATAAAATGTTAACAGTTGTTCTAATTTTACGAGAATAGGGACATCCACACCACAACTATAACGATGACTGCGCAGAGTAACGATATTGTTAAAATCATTTTCAGAACAATTTTTTCAGCTAATGAGCGATAAAAACAATCGGATTTACACACAATCCATTTAAAGCAAATAATATCATGACTGTATCGCGAGCTTGAAGTAAACAAAACGTTATCGTCCATTGGTGTGGGCGTTAATATAATTATAGTTATACTTGTTGTTATCATTTTTGATGTAAACAGGCCTTAGGTCCATGGGATTTTCTGTTTATTTTATGGTCTGCTGAACAAAAAAATAAGGGAGAACCTACTGTGAAACTGCTTCAACAAAAGTTAAAAAGGGTGAATTGCATGAAATTACTGCAAACATTTTACTGTATTACTGCATCCATATTCTGCTACTGCAGAACTTGGAAAATATCTAAATGAAAACGATGAATGAATAATAGAGCAGCTTACTGATCCTGATCATGTATCTATAGAATGACTCAATTGCCTGCTGGAAAATTCATCTTAAGATGATGCTGTCCGTGTTTTAGAGCATTTTAGCGTGTATCTATCTAGATGGCCCATGTTCATATATCCAGCTTAACCACAACTTTGGTTTATTGCTGGTCCAAAATGTTCTACAAGCTTGGTACAGATGGTCCTAAGTTGGTTTTTACAGGAGGCTTTGATGACTCCACGCCAAAGGAAATGGCTTTGGTTTTTGCATCAATTTACATTTCCTGAGCCTCACACTTACTCAATAGCAGTTTTAGTGAAGCACATTAACAGTTTGCAGGGCTCGCAAAATTTCAAAATCCCTGGTAGCCCTTCGGGCAGGCATTCTTCAGATTTTGGTAGCCCAAAAATGAATTTAACTAGCCCGAATAAAAGATATTGGATTTTTTCTTCAAATAACAAGTCAAGAGAGTAGGGGTGCAACAGATCACAAATCTCACGGTTCGGATTATATTACATTATCATATCACATTTTGAGTCACAGATCGGAT